AAACCTGATGAGGTTCAACATGGCCATGCAAGGTGCTGCACCTGGGCCAGGACGATCCCAGGTATGTGTGGGAGAAGAACTGCTTGAAAGCAACCATGCAGAGAAGGCTGTGGGGAGTCTGGTGGAGAAAAGCTGGACATGAGCAGCAGCGTGAACTTGCAGACCAAAAGGTCAACAGTACTTCAGGCTGCCTCAGCAAAGGGGTGGAACTGGGCAGGTGGGTTTGTCCCCTCTGCTCTGCCCTCATGAGGTCCCACCTGTAGGACTGCATCCAAATCTGGGACCCTAACTCGGGAAAGATGTGGAGCTGTTGGCACAGACCCAGAAGAGGCCATAAGGATGCTCAGAGGGCTGGAGCTCCTCTGTTGTGGAAAAAGGCTGAGGGAGCTGGAGGTGTTCAGCCTGGAGTAGAGAAGGCTCTGGGAGACCTTACTGTGGCCTTCCAGTACTTGAAGGAAGGACAGAGAGTGACATTTCACACAGGCAGATAGTGACCCAGCAAAGGGGAATGGATTTAAACTAAAAGAAGGGAGATTCAGGTTAGACTTCAGGGAGAAATTCTTCACTTAGAGTGCAGTGAGATGCGGACTGCCTCCCACAGCTGCGGGTGCCCCATCCCTGGAGGTGCCTGAGCCCACAGATGGGCTCCGGGCAGCCCGACCTGGTGGGGGCACCCAGCCCAAGGCAGAGTTAGTGCTGGGAGGTCCCACGCTCCAACTGAAGCCATTCTATAATGACCCTGCATGTGGCAGGGGGGGTTGGAGATTCACGATCCTTGAGGTCCCTTCCAACCCTGGCAATTCTGTGAATTAAAACTCCAACCCGTCCGCGACAGCGATGCATCCCTACGGGATAAACTGCGCTCCCGTCCACGTCCGGCGCTCCTCACCCCTCCCCGCCCGCCTCCTCATCCAGCTCCCGTCCTGCCCCCCCCGCACCCCCCGCATCCCCTCCGGCAGCGCGATGCGCCCCGGACCCCCGAGCCGCGGCCGGCGGGGATCGAGCGGCCACGAGGAGGAGGAGGAGGAGGCGGCGGCACCACCGGACCCCGCGGCTCTGCTCCGCTCGGCAGGTGCGGGAGCCAACTTCACCGGGGCAGCACGAGCGCCCTCCGCCCGACCGGGCCGAACCGAAAGGAACGGAACGGAACGGAACCGCGGCGCTGCCCGCCCCGTCGGCGCTCCCCCGGCCTCGCCCCGCTCACCTGCGGTCCCGCCGTTCCTCTCCGTGCTGTGACGGTTCCGGCCGCGCTCGCCCTAAATAGCGGCGGCCCCGACTCCGCTGCGCCAGCGCCGCTCCGCTCCGCCGCGGGGCCCGGCTCTCCTCGGGCGCGGCGCGGCGGCGTGGCGGTTCGCTCAGCCCCGGGGGCCGGGCCACAGCCGGTCCCGGGCTGCGGAGAGCCGGGGCTGCTTTGCCACGGGCGGCGGGGAGGGGGAAGGACGGGGTTGGTTTCCTTCTCCCGGAGTGACCCCACACGGGGCTGCCCCGCATGAGCTTTGTCGTAGAGTCACAGAATCGCAGATGAGCCAATTCCAGGCCTCCTGATGCGGGCAGGGCTGCCGATCAAGCGCCAGGTTGTGCTGCCGTGGACCCCATTCGTGTGGCCCTGAGCACCTCCAGGGATGGGGCACCCGCAGCTCTTTGCAGCAGTGCCAGCACCTCACCGCCCTCTAAGAGAAAACTTCCCCTGACATCTAATCTAAATCCCCCTTCCTTTAGCTTAAAACCACTCTGCCTTATCCTATCACTATCTGCCCGTGTAAAAAGTCACTCTCCCTCCTGTTTCCCTCCCTTCAAGTACTGGAAGGCCACAATGAGGTCTCCCAGAGCCTTCTCTTCTCCGGACTGAACACCCCCAGCTCCCTCAGCTTTTCTTCATAACAGAGTTCTTCCCCCAGCTCTACACACAGCTGGGATTGCCCAGACCCAGGTGCAGCACCTTGCACTTGGCCTTGTTGAACCTCATCAGGTTCACATGGATCCACCTGTCAATCCCATCCAAGTCCCACTGGCTGGCATCCCTTCCTTCTGCTGTATCAACTGCACAGCTCAGCTCGGTGCCATCAGCAAAGCACTGAGGGTGCACTTCATCCATCATTGATGCCATTGGTAAAGATGCTGAAGATTTCTGGTGCTGAGATGCAGCCCTGGGGGCCACCCCTCCTCACCACCCCCACCTGCACACGGAGCCATTGACCACAGCGCTTTGTCCACAACCATCCAACCAATTCCTTGCCCAGCAAACAGCTCACCCTTCAAATCCATATCTCCCCAAATGAGGTGTGCTGTGTGACCATGCCACACGAGTCCCAGTAGATGCCATCAGTTGCAATTCAGGTAGAGCCAAAGTCTTGAAACAGCAGTGATAAAGTCAAAGCTCCTTTGCGGTATCATTTGGCCTTAAAAAGATACTAAATTAGACACTGTCAACCAGCTGTCTCCATTTCCCTCTGGCAGCTAATTTACATATTGGATTATTTTCAAGAAACAGCTAATCTCATGTTTTTTGAACACTTACTACTGCTGATAGCCGGGCTCTGCCATCTCCACCACCTTATCTCTGCATGATGGGCTGAAATTCATTCATGCTCAGGAATTGTGTGACTTTGAGTACAAGTCTGCTGTAGCTGCCCTGAGCTCAGGCTCAGAAGGAATTTCACGCTCTCCAATTTTGACCTTCCTTCAGCACCTCTGATTGCTGGCTGTGCCTGGGAATAGCAGCATCCCATCCATCCTCCCTTGTAAGAATGCATTTTTAACACTGGAGGGGGTGTTGTGTTAATCAGACAGCTACAGCCTCTCACCCGGAGCTCTCACCTGGAATTAGAGGGAATTTTCAAGCTGTCCCACCGTGGTGTGAATCTGATACAAAAATAAGTAAGTAAAATAAAACAGATCGCTTCCTGCAGCATCAGTTGACTTCCAGGCTGGGAGAGGACACCGAGTGAATCTTCTGAGCCTCCAGAATTTCCTGGAGACAGAACAAGAACCTCCGTAGCTACAATAGCTGTTCTTCAAAAACCTCGAGAAGATGCCTCTCAGTTTATTCTCCTTCCAAACAATGTGGGTGTCGTTTGGTGGGTGGAAATGTGTTTGGTGCGATATAATGTGCAAGGAAAGAGGTTGGTCTTTTCCATCTCCAGCTGAAGAACAAATTCTGCCCTTGGGCAAGAGAAGCTTACAGGAAATCTTGCAGAGCTCTGCAGCAGAATGCAAGATGGTCTCGGAGCTGTGGCCATCATAAGCTGTCTCACTGCTGTGCTGTCAGTCACTCAATAGGAGCAGAGCATTCGCTTGCTCTGCTGTGCCGTGGCCCGTGGATGTTTGATATTGTTCACAAGCATTACTTCCATACAGAATAAAGGCTGTGGTTGGTGGCTTTCTTAGACTGATGTGGAAAAGGAGGCAGTTTTGGGGTGCAAACCGATCTTCAGACATTTTCAAAAAAGGGAAGAAATACGTAAAATATGTTTCTTCCTTCTCTGAGTTTGGTCAGCCGGACACTTTTCTTGCCTTCTAACAGCTACAGCTCATTTCACTCGTGCTTTATAAGGTCAAAATCAGCGCTGTATTTAATATCCTGTGCTGAATGTTCCGCTTAGAAAAATAATGCAGCTATTCTTTGAGATATGTTATCGTTTTTGGGGGTGGGAGGCAGGGGAGCTCATGCAGAGAGGGAATTTGTGCACAAACCCGGAGATGCTGTGAGTGTGCACCAGTGAGACAGGCAGATCTGCAGATAAAGGGGCCTCTGAAATGAGTCTGCTTCTCAGTTTAACACTAGGAAAAAAACACGTCGGTGTTGGCAAGGTTGACAGAGTCGCAGAAGTGTGGTGGTGATGCTCAGTCTGCAGACTCGTGTGTCGGAGCAGTTGTAGCTGTGCATCAGTTTAGCTCAGGTACATCTGCAGCAATTTGGTGCTGACTGAGGACCTTTGAGAAGATCTGGGCTTTTCCTTGGGCTGTGGGACACAAAGACAGCTTTGCTGAGCTTCCTCTCTGCATCCATTTATTTGGCTTTCACGTGGCAGATTGCATTTTTCCTTTTCACATCGAGCCTACTTTCCGAAGGTACAAATCAGGAAGCTGAAGAGTTTCCAATAGCATGTTTTTGTGAGCATATCTCAGTTCATTTCAAAGCCAACATTTCATAGGAACCTAAATATCTGTTTTCCAGAGAAAACCATGTGGCTAGAACATCATTTGTTCAAAATGTCAGTTCTGTTCTCTCTTCCTCAAATTAGAGATGTAATGGTTATTTTTTAGGTGCTTTTCTTTGGATACCTTTAGCTGTGTGCAAAATGACTCTGCAAGCCGGTGATATACGGCTTCAAAGTATGAAGCAATTATTTAGTTGGTAATGTATGCAAAGGAAAGCTGGGAAATAACAAGGCTAAGCTTTAATCTGCTTGCCAGCTCAATGAGAAACCAAAGTCGTGTCTGGCCAAGCAGCCATGGGGTGACCTGTGCAGTTGCCAGAGTGGGCCCTTAGTTCAGCCCCATCCCTGGAGGTATTCAAGGTGGGGTTGGATGGAGCCCTGGGCAGCATCATCTACTGGTTGGCAACCAGCCCACAGCAGGTGTTGGCACTGGGTGATCTTTAAGGTCACCTCCAACCTAAGCCATTCTATGACTCAGCTGACACTGATCCATCTAACTGTTCTCTTGTTGGTTTTATACCTTCCCATGTTTTTTTCCCCCTGAAATCTCATTCTCCATCTCAGCAGTCCCACCTCTCTGATTTTGTTTTCTATGATGTATATGCCCAAGACTTTCTCACCCTTCTGTCTGAGGTGGTGATGCAGCTCTTCCTTGGCTCCTTGGCACATAGAAAATTGAAGCCCCAGAGGAGGCAGAGGTAAAACACTACGAAGAGAATTAAATCTCATTCTCCAGTATCGCACATGAAAGTCTCAACAGCATTGGCTGGATTGCTGATTGCTCTGAGCTGCAGCTTTTGGGTATTTGATTTCAAAGGGCTCAGGTTTTTATTCCATTGCTTCAGAAGATAGGCTGAAATCTTGAGGTTTTTTGTTACCATTGTTATCCTCACCCTAAATCCAAAACACAGCACCGTGCCAGCAACTGGGAATGAAATTAACTCTATCCCAGTCAAAACCAGGAGAAGATGGAATTATTTTATTGTTCTCATCGAAGCTCTCAAGAAGTTGGGGGCAGACATGTTGGCCTCTGCTGTTGATGGCCTCTGCTGGTGCAGTGCCATCAGCCAGCAGATGGGAAGGGCAGCAGTCAAAGCAGCTGAAGTGAATTCTAAACAACAGCGAAGCCACCATTGAACTCATCCTCTTCAGAAGGGAAATGACATTAACGTGGCTGTGTGCTGGCTGGTGTCCAAGTAAAAATACCTCATTCCTCATCAGCAACGTGGCTCCCTGTGGATGTACAACAGTCAGACCCACTTGCTTATATGAGTAAAGATGACACTTTTTTTCCCTTCGTAAACCTCCTCAAACCTTATTTTACCCATTGCTGATTTACAGATATTTCTTCTGGGGCCAGCAGCGTCTTTTCTTGAGGTTTACTTCTCTGAATAACCCATGTCTGCCTAAATTGCATTGTTTTTATTCAGCAAATATTCTGGCTTTTTGTCAGAGAAATTACCGTGGCTAAGAAAAGTGGATATGTCAAGTGAGATCTCTTCTTTGGGTTCAGGAATTTTCTCTGCTCTTCGGTATTTGCTGTCACCTCACTTTTAGCATTGAAAACGGAACTGAATACCTGGACATTCAAAAACAAAATGCAAAAAAAAAGGAGAAAACACAACATTTGGAACAGAGTGCCCAGGGAGGTGGTGGAGTCACCGTCCCTGGAGGTGTTGAAGAGATGTGGAGATGTGGCACTGAGGGACGTGGCTTAGAGGGCAATATTGGTGGATGGTTGGACTGGATAATCTTAGAGGGCTTTTCCAGCTTTAATGATTCTGTGATTCGCTTTCACTATGTGAATAATTTTCCCCTGAAATCCACATTTTTTGTCACATTCCCAACCTCACAGATATGCCAGCACATATGGAGAGTTCTTCAGGCACCATTTCTCTACAGGATTATTTTGGTTTTACAAAGTTTAATTCTCAAGCATGTAAAGGACTATTGCTCAGATTGCAATTTATGCATCCTTCTCCTGAGGCTTCTTTCTTTATCAGGCAAATAAATGCTCAGAAATTGGCACAGCACCAAAATACTAAATCTATCTTATAATTGCTAAGGTAATTTGTAGCAGAGCTTGGAACTGCTTTGTAGCCACCTTCCCCAAAGAGATACATGAACCTATTTGAGCTTTCTGATCGATTCAAAAGATGACTGAGGAAGACATCCATCTTCATAGAATCACTGAATGGCCTGGGTTGAAAAGGACCACAATGCTCATCCAGTTCCAACCCCCTGCTGTGTGCAGGGTCACCAACCAGCAGACCAGGCTGCCCAGAGCCACATCCAGCCTGGCCTTGAATGCCTGCAGGGATGGGGCATCCACAACCTCCCTGGACAACCTGTTCCAGTGAACAGAAGTTCTATTTGCTTGTTGAAGCTCCATGAGGTCACAGGCTTTATTTACACTTTCTTTTTTTCACTTTTCTTGTTACAGGCAGACAGGTACGTCCTTCACTGGGGCAAGGAGGTTTTTATCAGCAGTGTCCTTGCACTGATTTAGTGAAGAAATTTGCTCAGTGGTTTTGGCATCAGGACTGGAGAACACTGGAAGACACTGAGACAGGCCAGAGTCTGGAGCACATGGTGTGAGGAAAGGCTGAAGGAACCAGCTGTGTTCATCTTGGAAAAGAGAATGGGAAGGAGAATCTGACTGCAGCCTTCAACTAAATAATGAGGTAACAGAAAGATGAAGTAGGACCCTTCTCAGATGGATACGACAGACACAAGTGGCAGCAGGGGAAGTTCCAGCTAATATGGAGAGTGCTCATCAAACTCTCACTGGAAAATTTCCAGTTGTCAAATAATACAGTCAAAGTGAGAATAATCAGCTCTCAGAAGCGACAGTCAGAACCGTGGTGAGGACAGAATGGTGCAGATCAGCTCCCCGAACAATGGAAGCCAATATCTCGTCTTGGAAATGTGCTGAAGTGCCCTTATCTGAAACCAGCCTTGTGTGAAACTCCAGCGCTGCAGAGAGGAGCATTATGACTGCTTGGCATAGCAACAATATTGAGTGATTCACGACATGAGAGCAGACACGGTCCCTCTTTTGTGATTTTCCTTTTGCTAGTTGCAAATTCTGAGGCAAAGTCAACCCACCTTGAAGCTCTCAGTCGTAGCTGAAGCTAAATCACTTAAATCACGCTGTAAATGAAGAACTGTTCATTTTGGTCCCGGCCATCTCGTGAGATTCACAGAAGGATTTCCATTTGTCCTGAGTCTCGTGTCACTGGAAAACATCAATACATGCCAAGCTCTGCAAAATGCATCTCACAGAAACTCCATACTCTCATGTTCAGTCTTGAAAAGCAGGTATTTAAAATTTAAAGGGATTCTAAAAGGTTTGAGCTTGACCTAGGATCCCTGAAGCTCACCTTGTCACAAGGTCTATTGAAGGCATTAAGGCTGTCCAACATCAGTCGAGACAATTTCATTTGGTAAATCGGTTTTGGAAAACAAACTTTATGCTATTTGTTAGGAAGGTGCCATGATCAACAGCTATAAAAACATTGCAAATCAGCAACACAGAGCATTTTAGTTCTGTGTGAGAGCCATGTCAGGATTGTTGCACAGCTGTATGCCCTGGGAGCGCAGGCTTCCTAGCATTCATGCTGCCATAGAGAAAATGTACTGTAGGTCTTGGAGTCCACATTGAACTCCCAGGAAATACATGTTATGGGGGGGGAGGTCAGGGAAAGGTTGTGCCCCACATGGTGGTGGGGATGTAAGAGGCTGCCCAGGGCAGTGGGCACAGCCCCAAGCTGCAGGAGCTCAGGGAGCACTGCAACACCTCTCTCAGACGTACAGTTTGGCTTTGGGTGGTGCTGCGTGGAACCAACTCTTTTACTCAGAGACCCTAGAGCTCTTTCAGCATGAGATATTCTATGATTCTGTTATTCCAAGATGTACCTTCTGGTAGATACCCGTGGTCAAAGCAGCATCCATTGGGAATCGGCACAAATCATTCAGGATTTACTCTGTTGATATATTTTTCTCATGAAACTGCCATCAACTGTAATAGCAAATATTTCTTCCTCTTAGGTAAAAGCCATCCAGGAACAGAGCAGCACATCTTCTACACCTCACTTTCAGTGGGATAGGAATTGCACGGGGCATCCAATGAGCTCCGTGTTAAAAACAGACACAGAGCACATGTAATGTGTGCACACAGAGCCTAGTTCTTGCTGCATGCATTACAGACTCAGTGCACACAAAGAAATCATCAGTCACAGCATGGAAAGGACTGTAAACAGTCTGAGTCAACATTTATTTCTTTTGACAGTGATCCCTGCACACAACAGCCAAGGATCTTGGATTCTGAGCTGACATTCAGCTCGGTGTTGGGGCGAGTTCTTTGTGGAAGAAATGTCCATCTGCCCCAGGTGCTCATCAGTGATATTGACTAAATATTTGCATTCTTGATTAAAAGTGATGGGTCTGAGTCTGTTATTTGCCATCCTTGCCTTTCAGGCTACCATAAAATTAAGTGCATGAAGAGCAAGAGAAAACACTGACTACGGAAGCACAATAAGCTTTGATTTTACTTACAAAACTCCTTGTGCCTGCCAACTCCATTTACACCCCTAACAATATGGTTTGCTAATCAAAATTCAAATATTCAAAACCGTAGGGAAAAAAAAGCAATCCATGGGAAGTGCACGTTCCATTAATCTGCAATAAACAGCTGCAGTACTTAAGATGGTGGCAGGCAACATGAGAAAGCACATGGCCAGTGGAATCCCCTGCCACGGTGGAATGGAGGTTTGTTTTCTTTAACAAAAGAGTCTGAAATAGCTCCTGCTGAATGAAATAAGTCAAATCACAGCATAGCTGGAAGGGATCCCTGGAGGTCTCCAGTCAAGGCCCCTGCTCAAAGCTGGGCCAGCCCAAAAGCAGGGTTATCCAAAGCCCTCAGCTCAGCTGAGATCTGGATTTCCACCCCTAGCTGAGAATATTTGTAGACTACAATTTGTGCTCATAGCAAGGGATGAAAAAAGAGGAGGAAAGTGTTGTTTCCCTGTGGAAGCTGCTCCCCTAACAACAAGTTATCAGTGATTCCATTGGATCCATGGAATCACTGTGATCCCATTGGCATATCCCAGGGGAAGGTGTTCTAACAGCATTATGGAAAAGCAGACAGCAAGATGGTTAGAGATGTTATAGAGGAAGGAGAGAAAGCAGAAATTGCAGAATAATGCAGTAAAAGAAAAAACCCAACCAAAGATGATGGCTTTATTGTATAAATTCATCAACACGGTGCATTTAGTTGTCCCAGTGGCAAAGGCAGAAAGATCAGCCTAGGAATGGAGGACAGTCTGTGATTTTGTGGTCCATGGTTCACCAAGAAGAGCCTGACCTCAGCCTTCTGAGTCAGGAGGAAAAAAAATGATTATTTCCTCACCTTCCTGAATTCCTCTCCTTGAAGACAGATGTCTTTATGGCAAGATGTCTTAGATGCACTTGCCTTCAGGAGTCTCCCCCACATACAGTGACTATTCAAAGCTGATGGAGAGCAGCCTCACAATGACATTGGCCAGTTCTCTCAGAAATACTGATGACATCCCATCAGGCCCTATGAATCTGTGTATGTCCAATTTGCTCCTCTCAACACCTAGCCAAAGCCAGCTGACATACAGATAGCAATAAATCAGCCTGGAAAGGCCATGTAGAAGACCTCACTGCCAAAACTGTTTGCCCCAGAAGGAAGTTAAAAAACCCAGACATAATATTTGTACATAGTCCAGTAGTCCTTTTCATATAGACTCATTCAGTTTCATCAATACTCAAAGCAAATTTTAGACAGAAGTGATTTTTGCCATTCTGAGCTCCCTTTTGTAGACATTGGTGGCTTTCTCTCATTGGGTTGTAGGAAGACTGTTAGAGTCTGTGGTCCCATTCTTAAGCCTCAAGGACACCTATTGGAGGATGAAATAAGCTCTAGATCCCAGATTCTGCTTACTACAGGAACTTGTAGATAATTAAATGCAGCAGGCATAGGAGTGCTTGACTGCTGGTACCTACATTAGTATCAACAAACCCCTCCTTAGGGCACCCAGATTTTTGGTGCTCACCACTGATGACCAAAGCAATCAGTTCCAGTACCAACATTAGAACAGTCTCCTTCTGCAGGGGTTCCCCACAGCTCCTCAGCAAAAACCCACCTGCCCATGGAGGACTTGCTCTTTGCTACGTGGCTACACAAAGACATTCACAGCCCTGCCTTCTTTCCAGAACTTCAGCTCAGGAACTGAGCAGAATTCTGCAGAGACCTGAGGACAAAATGCTGCTGCCTCACTAAGAGTCCCATAGAAGACCAAGATAAGGTGCATCAGCCCTCTCTGCTGCACTAGTTCATGCTTCAAGACCCAACCATGGGCTGCATATTTATACACTTAAAAAGGTCCCCATATTTAGAATATATAAAAACACAGTGGGACCAGGATTTAGCAGCAGTGACTTTCCCTGCAGGCCATGGCAATAGCCACAAAGAATGATATTGCCATGTAGCATCCATCCTCTTCCTGCAATGGGAAAACGCACTGAAGGGCCATCTGACAACCAAGGCTGTTGCACCCAGGGTAAGCAGGCTTTGTTCAGCTCATTGAGCAGGGAGACAGTCAAAGCAAGCAAGTTGTTTTTATTGTGAGATGGATGTTGACATAAGGACAGCAGGCTACTTACTGAGCTTCGTATTATATTCATTTGACATCTTGGAAAACATCTGAGTCTGAGATGCTTTTTATTCATGCATGTTAATAAGGTGGGTTTTTTTTTTTTTAATCTATTACTAGGTCCCTTTTTATGGAGCTGCTTTCATTTTAACATCATATTCAAATTCTGTTCTTTCGAAATAATTGCTTCGATATCTGGCGTTGTCATTAAAAGTATTTTGGGTGCTTCCCCTGGGTCTGATCCAGTTTCTTCCCAAGAACTTTAAGCAAGCACCCCCAACCATAGCAAGGCAGTTCACAATGAAGCTTCAGTGTCTGAGGAATTCAGTAATTTACTTCTTTTAAAATTCAGAGAGACAGCTAGAGTAGATAAATGCTTCGCTCACGAAGTTCAACAGATCATTTTCATTGCTCTGGATTAAAATAAAAATTTAAGCATGGCAATTAAAAAAAAAAAAGTGAGCTAAGCATTAAAATAACAGCTAAACAATACCTGCTTCCTTATTCAACATTTATTTTGCTTTATGAAGGGAGATGCTTAGCCCACAGCTTCCCAGACAGGGCTGTGGTTCCCATTGATGATAGCAGCTGTTCTGTACAGCTTTGGAGAGCAGCACCCAGGCAGGGGAAGGGCTGCTCCTTTTGGAAAGCCCAGCAAGTGGACCCCAAATGCCTGTACTTCCCAGTTCTCAGAAGAAGAATTGCAGGACTGCCCTGGGGATGGGCCCCTGCTAGCAAAAGGAGGGCACAGCAATAGGGCAAACCACAGGGCTTGTAACACCAGCACACAACTGCCCATGTTTGCACATATATTTCCTGCTGAGGCAGCCTGGCCTGGGTGAGGTTGATTAAAGCACTGTTAGCTCCAGGAAATCACTTTCCCTTTTGTGCCCAGCCTCCATCTTCCTGCTTTTCAAACTTCATTTTCCTGCATTGTTCCTGTTCATTCAAGTCGCACAATATAAGACATTCTCCCCTTCATATATATATGTCCTAAGTGAGAGGGGACCCTCATCCAGAATGGGCTCTTTGGGTTCTTCTCTCAAGAACTGCAGCTGTTGAGCTGAACCTCACCGAGCAGCAGTGTGAGCACTGCCCAGGAACAAGGTTAAGTCCACTGAACAACTCAGAACTTCTTGCTGTCAGCCCATTACCTTGTGAACCTGCAGAGGGGTTGTTACTTCCTCCTCGTAGCTGTTGTGCCAGCCCTAACACTTGCCTGCACTGCAGGAGTTTCTCCATGGGTAAAGTCTCTCGGAAAAGTGAGCTGAAATGGCATTATAACTGCTGTAGAACTTGAACACTCACCCATCCTTTTCTCTGCATGCATTTGGAGGCTGGAGTGATGCACATTCAATGTCAGTTGACTTTATGCTGTATTCCTAGAGAATCAGGAGCACTTCCCAGCTGCTCCCCAGTAGTTCCATGGACACTTGTGATCTCACAGTGCCAGGTGCTGGCTGTTGGCAGGACATTCTCCATTGCAACTTGCAAGGAGCATGGCTAACAGTAAATAAAATAGTAGAGTGCTCCATTCCCCTCCTTTGATTCCCACTTCTGGCTAGGAACAGAGCAGACAATCAGTCTTCCTTGTAAAGCTAGCTCTGGTGTGCTGTTACTGACCGATTTTTGTAGAGCAAAGCTCTTCCTGCTGAAATTTTTAATTCATCATCTTTGCTGTGGGTGAAGTCACACACTCTTTGCTTGTTTATCTTCACTTGCTCTTCCCTTTTTAGCTTTTCTCATGAAGCAGGACTCACTCTAAACCTCTACATTCTAGACGTCTGAGTGAGTCACCCTGGGAAGTCAGTAAGCAGTGAATTCTCCTAGGAAGTGATTAATTTGACCCAGGTCCTCCCTGGGTTTGGGCAACCACACCTTTCCCACAACTGCTATTATGGAGAGCTCTGGATCAAGCAAATCCATCAGCTTCCCCCACCACTTCCATAGTGCAACCAGGGCTTCCTTCATGCACCACGTCCCCAGCATCTCTGCTGCAGAAGAGCAGAAAAACCAACATGCACCTTCTTTTGGAACTCTGCGTTCACACCTCTGCTTTAATGGGCCAACCATGAACATCACAGCAGGGAGGAGACATACCAAGCCATGGGCACTCAATATCTTCTGCCTCATTGCAGAGGATGATGGAGACAGGATTGCTGCCTCAAAAAGGTCTTCTTCCAGTTCTTTCAGTCCAGCTCTGGCAGCCAACCCCAGCAGCTAGAAACCCTGTGTGATGCCTGTGGATGTGAGCTCTTTCCAGGTGTCATGACACTGCTATGACTCCAAGCACATGCAATCAAACATCACCATACAGTTGCCATTGGTGCACTCTTGTTATCTAATATAACTGGTATGGTTTCCTGCTCTGCTTTATGCTTCTCTGCAGAGCTGGTGCCAGGCGTGCAGCCCTGCTGCAGTGCTGCCCTCAGCCATGTACCTCTCCCAGGACAGGGCCAACAAATGCTCCTTCCATGAGGATGTGGAGCACTGACACTGGGTCTAGAAGCACACTACAGGCTCTCCCTTGCCAACGCTGCTGTCCCAAACTAAACACACTTCTTCCAGTTTCAAGGAAGGTTCATAGAAAAAAAAAAAAAAAAAAAAAAGAGAGAGTAAGAGGGCAAGATAGACCGTAGCAGATTTTGCTTGGCAAGAAGGTTCCAGTATGCAATTGCAGAAGTCACAGAGCTAACTGGGCTCTAATGGAGCTTTCACTCCCTTAGCACAAAGGATTCATCCATGAAGAGAGGTATAGGGAAAGGAAAGGAAGAGCACACCCACCCTGGGCACTGGGACACACCGTACCAAGGGTCTCTGCCTGCTCATTCTTAGTGCCAACATAGCCACTCCACTAAAAATATTCTATATACTCCTGGTAGCTGTCCTGCACACAGAGAAGCTGTGTAAATCATTCAGGAGTGGTTTCTCAGTTTGGGTTTCTTCCTATTGCTGAATCCTCTGATTAACTCCTGCTTCACCAGAAATAGCAGGACCACTTCACCTAATTGCATCTTACACTCTGCATCCATAGTAGATAGAAAAATCATTGTTTGGGCAATTAGAGTATCTAGAAAATGAATATAAAAGTGCATATCTAGTATCTGCTTCACAGTCTTTCCAAATGCTTCCATTTCTAGGATGCTTTTCAAGGTCCCTGCCTGGTTAGTATTGAGATCAGGGAAGCAGCCTGCCAGCCAGCTGCTGAAGGGGACTCTAGAGCAGCTCATGGAACCATAGAGAAACCATGAGAAACATGGAAAGTACAGCAATAACAGCAGAGCAACAAGGTCTCAGGCTACAACGAGCAAGGACACACTCAAATGCAACAGCTGTAGGCAAAGAAACAAAAGGAAAAGGCTGCTTACCTTCAGTACACCTCAGGTACACGGGGATCTACAGTGAGATACCCTCACCTCCACTGCCAGTCCTTAAATGAGGTCTGGAAAGAGGTGGATCCTGGCTCAGGTCCATTCCCTGCACCTGAGCTGGCCCTGCCTTCCCACCAGGTGCTCAATCACTGAACATTTCTGCTACACGTAGAAACAAAGAATCATATAATATCCCAAGCTGGAAGGAACCCACAACGATGTTGGAGTAAAATGCTAAGAAAAGCATGTCCTAAACACAACTGGGGCTGATCCTGGCCAAGGCAAATATGCCTGCAGGGTTTTGGATATTTAGAAGTGAGTATTTCAGGTAGTCAGATCCTTCCCAGAGCCACAGGGCTGCCGTCCAGCTTTTCCCTGGATCACCTCTCAAAGTGGTGAAAGCCACGCGTGGTTCCCTGATGCGTTGTGATGGGAACAGGCTGTCGTGTCCCACCTCCAAGGAGACACAACTGCTTGTGCAAATGTTTGCTTTCATGGTTTTTCTCGGTGAAGAATCTAACAAGGTGTGCAGGTGAAAATTCCAATAGCTAGCTTGTCATTTTAAACACTCAGAAGTGGATCCATGACCTCATAAGAACAGGGCAGAGAGTTAAGAACCTGTTGTTGGTTTTCTTATAGTCCACTTCTTTCAGGCCTTTTTCGTGTGGCTTTTGGTTTCCAGTGTCCCCACAAGGCCCGAAATCAGATTTTTATGCCTTCAGCAGAGATTCTGACACAGTCGTGCAGAAAGCCCAGCCTGCACCCAGCCATGCGTTCGTCAGAGTTCTGCTCTATTTTAAGGCATCATCATTCCAGAACACATATTTTCCAAAAAAAGAAATTGCAGGAGGGCTGTATCGTTAGGGTGGGAAACTCCAGAGGGATTCTCAGCTTCAGCTTCTCTGAAATCAGTGGATAAGTGATGTGTGAACAAGAGTCAAGGAGATCTTCATGCTTAACAAGGGCTGTGTTGAGCTGAGCTGATCAGGGTCACTTTCCAGAGAGGCAGGGTGCTGTCCCTTTGGATTTGTTAAAGAACAGGGATGCTTTGAGGATGGACAGATTATGCCATTAGCTGTAGAAATCATCTGTGCTTGCCTAAGAATACCTTCCTCTGAGGAGCAATTAGCGAGAAAATGCTAAACAGTCTGTTTTGTGTTACATGATCATTAGTTAGAACAAGGCTTAACAAGGCATGTAAATGACACTGCAAGGAAGTGACAGCTCTCTGCTGCATCAAACGCTGCCACAGCTAAGAGAAGCCTTCCCACAATGTTAAAAGCACGCTGGAAGATTTCTGTGAGACGAGAGACATTGTTCTGTATCTCACTGAATTCCTAATTAAGCTAATAATCAGCACTTTAGCATGGAGCAGTTCTTGGAGCTTACCCCAGATATTTGCTCCATGAACTGACTGGTCAACATCTAGTGGAAGTAAGTCACCATTACCTTGTTTTCACCAAAGACCACTCTTTAAGAAAACAAAACAATAAAGTACTATTTTAACAGTAAGTCTATATTAAATGAACTTCAAAAATTTGGGAAGAATGGTGAAAGTGAGAAACAATTAACCCAAGGCTGCAATGCACACCTGGAAAGACAAAAATCCAACTGTCTCATCCATTCAAAGTCTTCTCTAATGTTTCCAGCAATCTCCCTGCCAGTTGTGCTTCACTGGTAACTGAACTATCTGCCCAACCTGCTGCTGATTGTACTTTCTGGCTGCAGCACTGGGAGGCTGATCTTACAGTTTCATGATGGCTAAGGTCACCAGAGTGACACGCAGAGGCAAGGTGCCACTCAGGTCCTCGAGTTCAGAGCAGCCATGAGGGTTAGGCATGGAGCTAGAATCCCAGTTCTCTGAGCTAGAAAGGTGCACAGTGGGTCTTGTGGGTGATTTCCATCATCCAAACAAGAGGTCTTCCCCATGGGGCTTTCTCAAGGAAAAGGTTTATTCCAGAATCATTAAGGTTGGAAAAGATCTCAAAGATCCGGTCTGATAGTCACCATCCAGTCCAACCATCAGGTGTAAAAGTTCTGCTTGATGAAGACCATCAGGACTGAGATCCTCTTGCAAGAAAGCATGAACTGCTGCAAACCAAGGATCTTCCTGTGTGTCAGCAGTGCAGTTCAGCCTCAGCTGGGAAGAGTTGGTGTGGGGCATCTCCTTCCCAAAGGCACCAGCAACAGAGGAGAAGAAGAGTTTATACAGAGAACTCAACCCAAGATGCCACCAACTGGGCTCCTGTCAGTGAAGGGTTTGGAGCACAGTCTTATGGGGAGTGGTGGAGGGAATGGGGTGGTTCAGTCTGGAGCAGAGGAGGCTCGGGGGAGACCTCATTGCTCTCTGTACCTGCCTGAAAGGAGGTTGTGGCAAGGGGGGTTGGTCTCTGTTCCTGGATAACAGCAATAGGATGGAAGCTTATGGCCTCAAGTTGCACCAGGGGATGGTCAGATTGGATATTAGGAAACATTTATTTTCAGGAGTGGTGATGCATTGGCACAGGCTGCCCATAGAGGTGGTGAGATCTCTGACCCTGGAGGTGTTTAAGAAAGGGTGGAGGTGGCACTGAGGGACGTGGTTAGTGGGCAGTATTGGTGGTAATTGGACCATTGGACTGGATGATCTTAGAGGTCTTTTCCAACCTTACAGATTCTGTGATTTTGTAATTTTGAGTGGTATTTCCCCAGATTACAATGATTCTGGGGGTTGCTCCGGTCACCTGCTGCAACAGTAGGGAGTCTATGGAGAGGTTTCTTCTCAGCCTCATCAATATCTGCATTCTGATCTCTTCCAGAGAGCACGTGCTGTCACTTCTTCAGCAGTCTTGTTTGCTCCAAGTGCCTCCACGTGGGAGGAGATCTGGACACCACTTGGCCCCATAGAGCACCATCAGAGCCGCTCCAAGGACCCCTCCTCACAATCACAGCCCACCTTCAGTGCACACTGAGCACAGCCTCCACTTGTTTTATTCCACATCCTTCACCTCAGCCTGTGTGGAAAGGGCCAGAATAAGCCATTTCCAGTGGCTTATATAAAAAAAAATTATATATATTTTTTTTTCTGGGGAGGAGGACTCAAAGCTGCTTCCCAAAGAATAAAACCTATTTGCCTCTCAAGTAGCAGAGAGAATCTTTGCTGAGCTGCCACTAGCACAGCATGTAAATTACAGAGAGGAACATCCATGGCAGCACAGCTGTCTCCCTGGGAGGGTGGAAAAGAGCTCTGAATCATCAGCTGGAAGCAATTCTCTTTTTCCAGTGCCTTTGCTAACTTCAGTCCTTAAGCTGAGTGGCAGAGCAAATCCGGCCTTAGAGGCTTTGTTGTTGGTGCAGATGGTCCTTCTCCTGCCCCAGATGGTAATCTTGAGAGGCAGCACAAGAGAAAACCTTGCTGCTGTTAGCTGCTGGCTCCCAATTGCAATCTGAGTTGAGCTACTAAGCTGGCTTTATTTTATTTATTTTAGAGGGTTACCTGAATGTTGAGAAGTAGTCGAGTCCATCAGGAGGATGCTCTGTCCCTCTGTGTATCAAAGAGATTAGATTTATGCAGAAAACAAACACATAAAGGTAGATGAGATTAACACCACCTGCTTCAGGTGGTGTGAGGAATAGCCATGAAAAGAATCACGCAGCCATGTGATGAACCTGTATAAAAATGATGTATCAGATCACAACGTTTGCTTTTTCTGGCGTGGGAGAGATAAACCACAAAGGCTGAATGTATTTCATGGTGTTTCCTCCCTAATCAGGTAGGAAGAAGAGCTGATGCATTTCAATAGCTCTGGGATTGTAGTGCTCAGAATATCATTCTTTTGCACGCACTCTCAAGCCCTAATCTGCGTTGGAGCCTCACTCCCACAAAACTTTCTGATTCACTCCACTGCCAGTGGGGTGTGAATATTTTCTATGCAGTGCAAATGTTTTCCTGCAATAAGCCCATCCTTTTCTCTGACAGAGGGTAAAAAAGAGAGGATCAGCTCAAATTAAATGTCAAACCCTAGAGTATCTCACTCTGAAACCAAAATGGCTTCGGTCCAAAAACCATCAGGCTGTGAGCTTCGTAGAGAAGGAAATGAAAATGGGGTATGGCTGAGATTCCTTCCCATATGCTCAAATTCCATTAGGCATTTAATTCTGATCAGATGGGGGATCCAGGTGCCGTATCATCCTACATGGTGCAGACAAGGCAGAGTTACATCTAACAAAGCCTGTGCTGAATTGAATGACCACTTGAACCAGGGCAGCTGGGACACTTCTTCATCCCTGTGGCTGCTCCTTGGGCATTTTTTTTTTTTCAGGAAAGCAGTATTATTTAAACAGAAATTGAATTAGAACTTTAGAAATAGAAGGGAATAGTTCAGTTGGAAGGAATCCACAAAGATCATCAGGTCTAACTGCTGGGCTACTTTGGGGCTGACCCAAAGCTAATATCCATTATTAAGAGCAATATCCAAATGCCTTTTAATCACAAAAATGTGTCAACTACCTCGCTAGGAAGTATGAAGTGTGATTCCTCGGGCATTGTGGGTCCTCATTACAGTGACCCTATCCCTCATATTGATCAATAATGCTTTATTTATAAAGGCATTACAACACCCACTGATATCTGTGGCTGTAATGGCCCTGTTTTGATCTTCAGAAAAGGTGTTCTTCATGCAGAGGTGAACGAGCAAACGTTCAGTGATGTAAAAGAGGGATCTCTGTCTATCATCTGCTGCCCTTGGAGACAGCTATGGTTTGAACCAAGCTGTCCTGACAAATGCTATGCATCAGCTCACTTTTCTGGAGGAAAATATATAAAATACCAGTAATAGAACAGCCATTGATATTTTCCAGAGGCTGTGTCACCACGGATTTTCAGGACATTCCCAGTAACTGAGTTAGCACACAGCCCAGATCTCAGTCCCACTGCACAGTACAGCGTGCAGCCTTGGGGCCCTGGCTGCATCCCACCAGTGCTGTCCTCATTGCAGGACCCCATTTGCTGATCTCTGAGAACCAGCTTCCTTTTATAATTCCTGCTA